AAATGCGAAGTGGTTGGTTGGTTTGTGCGTTAATTGGATTTCGGAGCTTGTAAAATATATTTTGGTAAATATACAGCAGATACCAGGTGGATAATCTGCTAATTAAAATTACGCAAACACGTTAAAAATAGAATACAAACATAACAAATACATACTAATACGCATTCATAATATACAAAAAGGAAAACATTAACGTATACGAATGCAAACCGCTTATTTAAAATGCAGAAGAGTTGTAAACAATTCAATACGAACAAAATCTAGAACAGTTAAAACTGTTATGCCCAACATAAAACTAAAATACTAAAAACTATATAAACAGCATATATATGATCTCAATGAGGTAAGTTTTCACATTTTGTTCAAATGTAAACTTGTTTTATGTATTGCATCAATAAATCATTACTAGTGTCCTGTAGCAGTATAATTGATCTCTGTATTTAATATTTCTAAGTTAGAAATCTCTTATTTCATAAAAATTACTGATATACAAAAATATTATTTGCAGACAATTTGGAGTTATTTTTTGAAATAAGCTGCTTTTCCATCCTATGAAACAAAGTCGTTTTTACATTTGGTAATAATAAATGTAATATTTTACTTATAGAGTTACACTTGATCTAGTAATTCTGCTTACGTAATGTAGCCTTAATTGGCATGTTGGGAGTTATCTCTATATCTGAGAACAACTATTAACTCTTTAGAAGGTTATTATTTAAACGGAGCTAGGAATATGAGAGTCTCAAATGCTATAAAAACCACAATTCGTGGTGATGCAATTAAATAGAACAGTCCAACTGTCCAGTTTATATTAAACGATTAACTGCAAAGACTAAACGATTGAATACTTTCATAGAAGCTAGCTCAATCACTCTACTGGCGTATCAGAATCAAAGTGTCGGCAGAGAGTGTGTGTGTGTGTATTTAATTATGGCAAAGCACACGAGGGCTATCTGCCTAAGAGGAGGGATGCCTTCGTGGAGGACTTTCTAAGGGAAACTGGCTCGTATACACGTTACACATGGGGAAAACCACGAAAACGCCCATGCAGCCAGCCCGTTCGCGGGATTCGAACCTCGGACCGAACTACCAGTGTTCGGCGACTTTACCGCTCGGCCGGTGGTGGGCCCGTCGGCAGAGAGAGACCGCAAAGTTAAATAAGTATACAACTTTTAAAATCAGTATCGCAACAGCCTTGACTTTGGTGTAGGTTTAGTCAAAATCTCAATCGATATCGAGGCAAACAGGTACAGGTCCCTTTTCGTTAAGAGCAAAGAAATCTGAAATCTTTCAATTATATAGCTGTTATAGCTAGCAGGAACCTAACCACGTAGCGTGCACGCGATGCCAGAAAATTCTCTGTCTCAAAATCAAAAATCGTAGTTTAAATACTCATAGCTAATTTGTATTCTGGCGAAGAATACGGAAAGGAGAAGTTATAGTAAATACTGAAATTATAATGACTGGATAATTAACGTAAGATTCCATACATACTATTAAAAAGAATATCATTATTACCGGAAATCCCAAGAATGCAAGTGTAGGCTTGACAGCAAGCTCAATAGGCTGCAACGCTTTTCATTTCCTCAGCTTTTTTCTTTTCTTTTGCAATAATATTTTCTAATACAAGACACATACCAAAATAGCATCATTTTTTAAATTTTATAATTTTAAAATAATTCTTAAAATATATATTAATAAAACTGCTAGTTAATTATTTATTGATATAAAGCTATATCATGAAGGAAGAAGGAAATGACATAAAATAAATATAAGGGGAAATTAGACAAAAATTATTTATTTTAGAAATAAATTATTTTTAATACTGTTGCGTGCGTACGGGTTCGTAAATAAATAGAATGCACAAGTCCGATGATAAGTGAAGAAAATTTATTATTATCAGAATAAATAAAACAAAATGCTTAAATTTCTTCAGATATTCGTACAATACTGCAATATCTCACAGTATTTATCTTTTAAAACTACTATAAGGTTCAACACAACTTATTTCAAACCAGAGAAAGCTAATTTGATTTCACCGCGAATTCGCTACAGTAAACAACAATTTTCCAAACAAAACTCATAAAACAATTGAACTGAGAGGTCCCCCCCCGCTTTTTATAAGCTTTTTAAATGCACGAGAATTTTCTCGATTTTTCGGGATAGCAAAAGAGTGCAATTACGAGATATCTATTTATTAAATGCGCGTGCTACTGTATTTTAAATTTTTCCTGTGTAGCTTTCTCGTCAAATAAGTCGCGTGCAGCATTCAACGGGGATGGGAAACAATTTAATCACAATTCCATTAAAAACAGCAAACTAAATAAATCAGTACAAAAACCGTAACAATGTATATATTTTTATGGAAAAAGAGCAATATATAAATGTAAAAAGCAGAAATACAAAAATACGCAAAATAAATAAATAAATAAATAAAAAATTTTAAAAAATATCCCGACATTTTTATACAGAAGCCTCTTGCAAAATGTATAAGGTTTAAATGTTCGTTTGCATGACATTCGAAATTTGAAAATGGCAGTATGGCGAACTCCAATATATCGATCTTGATATTATAATGCAAGAAGAGTTGATTTCATTGAAGCAGGATGTTCAAGCGCAAGTCTTATTCAAAGTTTACGCTAGTTTTAAATTTAATTTAATTAAATTTTTTTTAAATACGCTAAGTTTTAAATTTAAAAGTGCCCGAGAGTTAATATCCCAAAATAAAAGTTTTGCCAAAGTTATTGTTGACTTTTCCCTATTTGTACCTAGAGGAAGAACGCTTTAGTCAAATCGATAATTTACTACAGAAAACAGGCAAGAGGCTGAATATTTTTGAACTAGCTTATTTTAGAATTAAGTTAAGCAATTTTATGCCAAATATTTTTTAAATTGCATCAGTACATCAGCGCAGCCATGCAATTAAATATAATAGAACTTTTATACAAATAGAATTTTAATTTTTCAAATCTGGAAATTTATTTGTATTCCTAGAATTTGAAATAATAATAATACAAAACGAAATAAAACAAAAATCTCATAAACCGTTTTCTTCAAAGCGTTCGTTCGTTCTTTCATTCGCCTTCATATTTTTAGTTTAATTGTTACCTTTAAGTTACTTATGTACACAAATATTGTTATTATGATTTTGTTGATGCTCTATATTAAAGAATATGCTGTATATAAAAACGTTTGGAATATATATAAAAAACGTTTGGGACCTACTATAAAAAACGTTTGGGAATAGCTGACCTAGATATGAAACCAAAGTTTTGCATGGAAAATCAAATTAAGGAATTAAATTAAGGAATGTATTTATATGTAGGAAAAAGGATTCGTAATCCCGGAAGAAATAAACAAAATGTTTGTAAATAAAGAAGGCCATTTACAGTATCAAACAAGTAGCTAAGTACTGGAATGAGCAAAGTGAGCATAAACTCAAAAATAATACATTGATCTCTTTCTTTTTATAAAAAGGGTTCTCAAAGGAATTAAAGTAATTATGTATGTCGGTACTATTATAGACAAATCATTCCTTCCTCAAGTAATGAACGATTTTAAGAAACCGTACCGAAAAGCATATTTGGATAAAGTTAAGTGTTTCTTAGAAATGGAAATAAATCGAAAACAAAAAGATGAAAATTATCTATTATCACAGAAAATGGAATACATCAAGATTTCCAGTTTGAGGAGGAGAAATGTGGTACACCTATGAAAGCAAATTATTATATTTTAGGAGAAAAAAAAAATATTTTTTTTACATTCAAATGATAGCTATCGCCAAGCTATAGGAAGTTTTTTGTACATATAGTTTTCTATGAGACCCCAAATTATAGATATTCATAGCAGAGGATGCAATAAGTCAGGTCAAAAATACTAGAATACTATTAAACGAATTATTGAATATTTAATCATAAATTCCGCAAATGTAGAACCAGATCTTCTCCGCTCAGATGTTGTTTAGAGAAAAGATATTCACAGTAGAAAATCTACATCAGAAAGTGTAATTTTACTGAATAGCGATTGCATCATTCAACAAGCTGAATATCCTCAGCAGATGTCGCACTATCGCAAGCTAAACAAGCTTTATTGTGGCTATTAAAGCTAACAGAAGATTTTGATCCAACTTTACCCATAACCCATAAACGTCTTTGAAGCTAGTCAGTCGAAAATAAAACGTATTACATATGAAAATACGATATGTTTTCCGTCTCAGTGCATCGCGGAAAAGACGTATAAAATTGGCGAGCTCAGTTGAACGCCTACGACCTTTCGAACTTTTCCTGCTTATAGAGTCAAAGTGGTAGTATTATCTGCGAGACTGTATTATGCTGTTATAAATAATATTGATATAAATCAGGTACTGACTAATCATGGTCGTTTCCCGTCTTATTTTAATCGGTTCCATCTACAGAATAATAATAAATGCTTAATACTCGTATTTGATAAATTTGGGCACGCCAGGCACTTCGTCAATAAACGTACGCTTACCCGGAATGCAAGAGAGAAATATAGAAATAATTTTAAGGAAGATTTTAAAAGGAAGTATTCAAATTTGAAATATTGTGCAGAGACAATAATGAAAATTATAAATACGAACAAAGAATTGAAATTCGGCACTGAGACTCAGATTTTGGACTTATATGTTTTTTCTTATATTTTTCTGGCCAGTCCCATTTTTTTTATCATACGGCCAGCTTGTGCCGGCAAGGAGGATTGGGGCTATGCCGTTACAGTAATAATAACAATAATAACTTTCCTACACATTTATCTTATTACTTTTACTGTTTCTAAAATTTACAGTTTTTTTTTTTTAAATTAAAGACGAGCAGATATTCTAAATAAAGAGCTCTTGTTTGTTACACTTTGTGACGTTATTTTTGTACTTGCGCTAGATGTTGTGATTTTCAGTGCCGAGGTAGCACGTTTATATGCATGCATATTGAAGGCATAGGGTGATAAGTTTTAAGAATGTGTAATTATTTTCTTTCTTTCGACAGAGATCTACGATGTTTGCGAAATACCATCCACACTAATTTGATGATAACCTATTTGCTCATTGATATAACATGGATTTTGACAGCTACCTTGCAATCAAATCCTCAGCCTACAGCGGCCAAAGTAATAATATTTTAAGTATATTTAGCTTAATAAGATACTTTCATGTTTACTATACAAAATTAAGATTAATTATGATTGCTTATATTTTAATATAAATTCGTAATAAAGAAAATAAAATTATGCCTCGTTCAGAAAATGCATATACTATCTCCATAAATTTAGGTGTCTTGTTTCCTTGTGATTTTGCTCACTTATCTGATGGCAACCAATTTCTTTTGGATGTTCGTGGAAGGTCTCTACCTCTACATGTTGGTGGTAAAGACATTTTCCATTGACAAGATCCAATTCAGGACATACGTCGCCATTGGATGGGGTAAGTTACACTTCAGTTAATCATTTGTCATATTATTAAATAAAATGCAGTAGTAAATAAAGTGCGCATGCCTAAGACAAAATCCAAAATTTATAATAACTGACATCTCTTCCGGATTTAATTTAAGATATTTATAAACTCTGAAGAGTATTAATGCAGTGATGATGTGCATAATCAAAATGAAATATTAGTATATCATAATAAAGGACTCAAACTAATTCAAGTAAAATTTTATTACAAAACACTTTTATTTGTCTTGTCTAAGAAATGCATAATGCTTGCTTTACTCTTATATTTCTGTTATAGCTGTGTTTTGTCTTAAGCTCATATTATTTTACAACTTTTATAATATATATAGTATGTATCAATACTTGTAATATGATGCATTTCTTTTTCTGAACGTAATTGGTAGAGTGTTCAATGCTGTAAAAAATTAAATCAGTATCCGTCCTGTATATAGTTCGATAATTTAAAAAAGAGAATCTGAAGCTACATAAAACTTTGAAGAATTAAAAGAACGCTATTTAATACCCTTCATTATGATTCTTTGCACATTACGAGACGATCATAAAATAACGTTGGTGAACTAATGGTGACCTCTGAATAGTGAAACCATGTACTTTTCTCATGATACTTTCCTTTAAAAGCCTTAGTCCGGTAGACTCTGGACTTAAGTAAACCCAGAGTTAGAGATTCGGATAAGTGTTAGATCAGAAGGCTTCAAAATGCAAGGTCACAGGTACAGGTTGGAATATGGAAATGGTTTCACAAGTATGGCCACATGAATAGCACATCAGTTAATATTATGCAAACCATCACGCGCTTACAATTCTTGAATCACGTGCATTTACAAAACCGATGCATTTCTTATGTCTGTGATACTGCATGGTGCGTAATCCATGGATGAGTGATTTTCGAAAAATCGAGGATCTAGGACGATTTCAGCCGTGTTTTCAGACTGCACAATCACTCTGGCACCTCGCAGTGGCGCTTGAAACAAATACTAGAGATGGCTAAGCTATATGAACAGATTTTGTTCAACTAGATTAAAGATAATCTTTATGATGCTAGAAAACGGGAAAAGGCTAGTTTTGTTCGAATTGATGTATAATTCTGTTATATCCTAACTACTACTACCTATAGTGCTCTGGAGAGGAAGCATGCGAAGCAGTAATTATTATTATACTCTAATTACATTTTATACATTACCCTAATTAATTACATTACCTTTGTTTCCAGACCTAACAGAACAGGTCTTCTGTCGCAGGTATCAGCTTACTCGCTAACTTAAAAATCAAATTCTATTGTTTTAGTTTTACATTCACAGTTTTAACACCTTATACATGCTTACATCCTTAGCTGCTTTGCGAACTCGCCTTGTTTTTACTAGAAATTTCCGAGATAGAGTTTCATTCACTGTTACAATGACGCCTGTTTTCATTCATCGCGAGTTGATCGCATATAATCTTGCTTTCTTACCTCGCCAGCGAGTGTATCCCTAACATAGCTTTGTAAAAGTTGCATAGCATTCTCCGCTTTCTGCGTTTCAGAAACATGCAGTTTTTTAGTAAAGTTCTTTTATGATTACTCTGCGCATACATTATTCAAACGGCACTTGTTAAGTAATGCTTTGGTTTTGATAAATATGTGTTTTTGTTGTTGGGACTTGTCTAACCTAAACATCAGAACAAGCCCACGAAATTCATCGTGGCAAGGAGTGCAAGGTTTTGTTAAATATGAAACAATTATGCACATACCATTAAATTCGGCGAGAAAAATTCAAATGTAGTTTCTTGGTCAAACCAATGGCTAGTTCGACAACCTCGAAACATTAGCAACTTGGGCACCCACCTACGATGCCGGTTTTCTAGTCAAGTTGTTCTCGCCGACAGCTAACTAGAAGTGTATTTCCTCATGAAATCATTAATATGTTTCCCTCACATGGAGCGCAAACTTTTCTACTCGTGTAGCGCGCAGAAAATGATGGATTTAGACCTGGAGGCTATTCTTATGACAAAGACGCATTATTCTGAAAAAGAAATCATTTGAAATAAACTTGTCGATAAATCTCACGCCACGCATTCTCTGATATGAATCTTTCACAACATATTAATCAAAATACAAAAATATGCCTGTCTACTCCGTTTCCTTTGTTGCCGTACAAGGCGCACTATGTTTATTTTTAGTTTGGATTTTTGCGGGCTTTTGGTAGGACTGCTAATTTTCTCTTGGAATTTCCTTTTTCGTTTCAGATTAATATCACAAACCCAGAAATACTTTTTCAATAATGATATTATTTTAGGACATCAAGTATTTCCTTTCCTTTAAGTCACATTAATCAAACCACTCAAAAAAATAACGCCACACAACCAGTCTGACTCATTAAGCTGTGTAAAATAGCGACAGTAACACATGACATTTACCATATGTTTATAGAGAAACTTTTTTTCACTTTCCATTCTGATAAGGAGACCACATTTCATTTATTTTAAACTGCTACACTCAGTGCAAATACATTTCATTGGCTTCAACCATATTTTGTTGACACCTGGATCTTAAATGAACTATGAAAGGGTACAAGACCTACATTTTCTATATTTTTTTACTTATCATCGTCGAAAAATGCTATTTGGTTACAAAGTAGTTTTGCAATTCACATACTCTAAAATATATACATAAGTATGTAATATAATGTTATTTTCTGCATTAATAGATATTAAAGAAGTTAGAAGAAAAACATCACAAATTAAAATTTTGAATAAGGTGAAAAAATCAGCCTTATATAGGCATAGATTTTGAATAATACTCTATCGATCAGACGCAAGTCTCTTTTTGGTTTTCAGGCTCAACAAACTGCTGAAAGACATAAATCTGTCTCTGATCATCCTCGAAATCGATAGGATTTTATTCAAAATCTACGACAAATCACTTTTTGTTTTAGCTTTAAAATATTTTCTTAAAAGTATATTATTTTTTCTAAAGTACAAGAAGATCTTTTTTGATTTGTTTTTACTGAAACACTTATAGTGTTGCGAGGCCCCAACTTTTCAGCAACAGTGGTAGTGACTGCTATGAACTGTAAATTACACAAACTCGTAAGAAGGGTTTAAATCCCTTTTTATTCCACTTTAGAAATAACAGCTGCGTTCACTTGACGCTCACAAACTACGCCGACCCGGCGGTTTAACAGAACAGAAATGTGAAACTAAAAATAAATGACAGAATGAATAAATAACGAGATCACTACCTACGAGGCTCTAAAATCGTAACTAACTTAACCGCGTTCTAAGATACAGCTGAGATTCAGCAAACTTACTGATTAAGCAGTTGAAGGTTCAACGAACTGCCGAAATAGGCACACAGGTCGAAACGCGCGGTTATTAAATTTCTACCTAGCAACCTTCACGCTCGCGATTCAAGAGCACACATAGAAACTCGTTTCCCTTCTATTTAAACTCAACTTCTGCTAAAATTTGAATAGACTGCGCATTCTACTACAATTTACATACTCTGGCATTGGCAATTCTGGGGGAAAGTAAAGGCTTGACAGGAAAGATAGCTTAAAATAAATTTTAGTTAAAATAAATATAAACCCTACATTTGCCGCTGCCAGAATTTTGTAAACTTGAAAGCATGTCCTAGAAACGACCTGTTGAAAAAGTTTCCATATTCCGACCTAAGACTCAAGAGCTCCGTTTACAAAAACAAACTTTTGTCTAAAACAATTAGAATGGTTTCTGTAGATGATTAAAATACCATATCTTCTTACAGGATCCTTTCTGGTAATTGGTCTTCATCAATCAATCTTTTTCTCTTCCTTCCAGCATCTGGAAGGAATAAGTATCAGTATATTCTAAATACATTATGATTTACACTTTCTTAACACTCCATAAAGTTTTCGTTTTCGATCCTTTTCTTTTCCTTAATTAACTGCTTACATTCACATTCATTCAAATATTCAAACATGAATTTAACTTTACCCTGGTTCTCCACCATGTGTGGTGTCAAACGGGAATCTTCGTGTTTTTGTATTACAACACTTCCCCTAACCACAATGATTTGTTAGAATTCAAACGACCAAATATGACACACCTTAATCCAATATACTGAAACTCGATGAGCTATGTTTAACATTCTTAAAATTCAAGTGTAGGTGGAGAACCCTACAAAACACATTCATTCTAATTTCCCCCTCATTCATCTTTAGACATGCAGGCTTTCGCTCTAAAGCATGATTTTATCTACTGGTTAATACTTGGCTTTAGCTCTAAAGCATGATTTTATCTACTGGTTAATACTTAGATTTGAACTCGTTTCTTTTGAGCATTTACTTTTAACATCTAAAATTTTATGCTTCTAGACTAAATTCTACTTTTACATAACTTTCAAGTATTTACCTATATTTACAAAATTCTAATATATATGATTTTTACAATTTATGAAATGAATAAGAGAAAATAAAAATTTACTTCACATTTTCTTCGCCGAGCTGGCGGCCCTGAAACTAAATTTTACATTAATACAAGAATACGAAGTTATTTTACTTTCGGCCAAATTTTGGATTTAACATAACAGAACCAGTCTTTCGACCAACTCGAACTGCTTGCTCTTAGATTTTACACTTAGCTAAATAAAGTAAAACAAAACTAAGTCTCAACCGAGACAAATTGACTTCCGTCAACACATAGAACTTCGTATTTACGCATAACATTTCAGAACAAAAGAAAAATTTATAGAAGATTTTAACTTATCTTTGAGTTTTCGATGCTTGGAACTCCGACATCCTCTTCTGGCAAAATTGATCCCAAGTTACAGAGTTCATGGAAGTTAATCTCCGCTTTTGGTTTCTTCGAGTTTCCTCCATGGTGACGTTTTCCTTTTTCGCCCTCTGTACGCCGGCCTCTTGGGGTGGTAGTCTTCGGGTTCCTGTCTTTTCCGTTTGGCCCCTGGACGGCTGGTCTTGGCGGCCTCCGGTCTGGATTCTTGCTTGAATTTTTTCT